CTAGACCTAGTAGTAGTTTCATGTATATTATGCATTACCTGGCACGCCAGTCGATGTGCGCGGCGCTCTTTTCAAGCTTCATGAACAGGGGCGCTCCTACTAAATCGCTCGCCCAAATTTTAAGAAAATTCTTGTGAAAACGCCCTTTAGGCATGAAAGTGATCTAGATCGGTGTATTTTTGGACGCTGATTCCGAATCACCCCCCATGACGTAGGGTTAAAATGATTCCCTGGAGAGTTATGGGCAAAAAACTGTTTTGGTCACGTGACAGGCTAGTAAAACGTGAATTCGATTATTTAGGGCTCGGGTTAGAGTTAGGGTTGTGGTTAAGATTATGGATAGCTTTGGGGTTATGGTTAGGGTTAGGGTTGGGATTAGGGTTTATGTAAAACCGTTTTGTACGGCTGCAAAACCAAAAAAACCAAAGTCACGTGAAATTTTTGGGCGAGCGATTTAGTAAGAGCCGAACAGGGGCGAGCAATAAACTAGCAAGCTAGGTAAATTATGCAATGATGCAGATCACAATGGGGTGATTTGATTTTCGAAGTGAACAAACACAAAAAATAAAAAACTTCATTATCCTATTTCTCCGTAAAAAGCACTTAGCACAAGTTACTGGGCCGCGCTCAGCCTGTCATTCCGCCTAATCTCTATGTTTATAAACATGATAGCCTGAGGTCCCCAGGTAATTGTTGATTCACGATGTCAATCCTTCGCATCTCGCCGATCTGCATCATCTGAGGTTGCGAGAAGAATTATTTGATGCGCGGCGCGACCCAGTAGTGCATCGCGCTACAAGGTAATTGTTATATTATGGAGAAATACGTCGGTAGCGTTTTTGAGCTTGTTTGTTGTTATTTTCTTTCAAAAGTATTCCAAGTGATTTGTATAAGTGCATATATTAACTCTGAATACATTGCAAAATAAATCATTTCGATTCATGAAGTTTGAACGAAGTTACAGCAATGCGCGCAATTTGGGGAGTGTGCTCATGCTTTTGGCGGAGATATAAACTGCGCCAAACGTAAAAAGAATACAGCGTGTATCAAGCCCACTAGCTTCAAAGCAAGCATAATATATATATATATATATATTTGAGACATTCAGTGAAACAGTAAAACACGAAATTCACATATATATATATGACAATGCGTGTGGCCCGCGAGGAGATGACATTATCCAACTCTCACATATATCATGTCATATTATATATATATTTTGGAAGAATACAGTGAAACGAATGATTAGCACAAAGGAAATTCAGCAAACCTAACATTTGTTTTGGAGGACTTGGCCGCCGCGCGCTTCGATGTTCGACGCGCCGCACAAACTAGCATTAGACTAAATTGTTGCTATGTTAATTCGCAGAGCAACGATCTGAAAGGGTTGACATCGTCAATCAAGCATTTGTTGTAATTTGATTTATGATTGGCGATGTCAACCCTTCGTTCGCGTTGTAGCGCGATGCACTACTGGGCCGCGCCACGCATCCAATAATGCTTCTCGCAACCACTTATACAGATCGACGAGATGCGAAGGATTGACATCGTGAATCAAACCCTTCGCAGCTCGGCGGGACCCATGCACCATGCTTGGAGGACTTCGCCGCTTCGCCGCGCCGCGCAAACTAGCATTCTTGCTTCGCATCGAAGATGGTTACAGAGCCGAGGAAAAATCGCTATTCCTCGGTAAAACTTGTATTACGTTGTGACCCCCACGGTCGTTTCACTATGGCATAGTTTCTACGATACAGGGGGAGCCGCGCACTCGTGCGCGGCGGGTCATACAACGTATGACAAGGTAAAACCGAGGGCGAGGACTCGGTCGACCCTTGATGATAGGAAACTTAATTGAGGGTCAAATAAGGAGGGATACCGGTTAAAAGTTCAAAAAACTTCCTAAGATACCCCTTCAGTGCATACTGTATAAAAAGTAATAGTAATTTAAATTTATAGATTATAGTGGCACAACAACTTAAAATGCACAGGTGTGCCATGAAAACAAGTCAGGATACAAGAAAACCTGAAAAGCAATCCACATTTAGGTTCTAAACCATAGAAAAATGTAACGACTTGATACACTAAATTACATTTTAAACAGTAGAAACATTGAAAAAAATAATAAATTAATTAATATCATAAGCACGTTTAAAAAGAAACGTTTTCAGATACACTTGAAAAGAGTCCAGTGACATGCAATTCTTAATTTCAAGAGGCAGCTCATTCCATAATTTAGGGCCAACTTTCTGAAACGATCTTTCTCCATACTGTGTATATACTCTAGGTTCAGTCAAATAGATAAGATGATTATAATTGGCATATTTAAACATATTACTTAAATAAACATAATACTATTAACTATTAACTATTGCTATTCTTCCTAATTTCTTCATTAACAGAACTGTGAAAATTTCACAGCATTTTTCATTAAGAAACAGACAAAAAAATTCAAGAGATATTTATTCCCTTGTAATTTAGTGGATTTTATATATATTATTACGAAGGGTTTTATTTTTACCTCAGTTTTTAAATTTGTACCATTTTTACAGAATTTTTATATAGGGTCATTGCTATATTATGTGTATGTTTATTTATTCCCTTTCTCTTGGCAACACACGGATTTTTATGCAAATATTCAACTTGTTGCTTCTTCTTCTGGATATAATTTACACCCTTTATTTTCCCTAAAACTATATATGACACTTCCCTAAAGTCACTCATTCGAGAATGCTACTGTGTAACCACATTTCAATTACTTCACAGCTTTGACTCTGTTCTTTGTTTTTAAAAAAAATTACTGGATACTGGTGTTTACTGTAGCTGTGATCTCTTCACATTTGTTAATTCTCCATCCTTTGCCTCAGGTGAACTTAGAAAATGGCATCTGCTTTATCTAACCTGTCTGGTTACACAAAGACTGCACTACCTCTTGTATTCTATGGCTTGACGGATTATTATTACAGCAGATTTCATCTTAGAGAAAGGTTTGTCAATCCCATCCCTGCATGTTATGCTGCAGGCTCCCATGCACTGATACTTCTCATTCTATTCATCTGCAACTACTACTGGTATAGAAAAGTGAGGCTTCCAAATGTCAATGCCTCACTTGTTTTGACATCGTTATCTCTGTCATTCCTTTTGAGGTGTAATGTATTTGATCTGAATCACAATTTTGGTGAGCCATCGTATAAAAACATAACGGCAATTCTATTCCCTCTTGTACTTTTGTATCATGGAGCTGAAAAGTATGGGTGTTTGGGAGCATTCCTAGCTATTCTTCTTAGTAGTATCTCAAGAATCCAGCCCTTACCAGTGAACCAGGTGCTTATTGGAGGAGTATTATCTCTTACTGCACATTTATGCTTGTGCTTTTTGAATAAATGTCGTCAAGAGAAGCAAGCTGGAATTGAAGATCTCAACAATGAAACAAAGATGAGGTCATTTCTGGAGGTTTCTTCTAACTTGTTCCTGGGTATTGTATTATGTGATATTATAATGGCACTATTCGAGGGTGATCAGTCGAACAGTTACAATGGATTTGGTGCCACAAGCATATCACTGTTTGCTTTGTCTTCATTGGGAAAATTTGTCCTACTTTATTTCAGCACCAATTGTGGAGTACATGCATTGATGGTTAACTGGGTTAGCAAAACAATTATGTTTAGTTTCACATACACTCTTGGGTACAAATTCGACCTTACTATTTCAAATCTACTAGCCATGCTTCTGTGGGCTATTTATGTGATCATTTTCATGATAATATCGAAGTTCAAAGAGAAAAGCTCTTCTAGTGAAGTAAAGTATGTACCTGTCCTTAGTCACGTAGATTGATTTGAGGCAAATGAAAAGCAAGGACAAAAGAAAATCGCGATTATTCAGGCCAAAGATCGCGGCACCGAGACAAGCCAAACTATGCAAAATTGCGGCAAAAGATATGTATTTGCAGAGCTAAATTAGATGTCATATATTCGTTAACTAGCTCGTTAGTCTGGTTAGATTGGGCGCGCCAGGCTAAACAATAGCATATATCATAATCTCAAATATGTTATTGCTATAGAACAGCACTAGTACTAGAAACTATTTAGCCACACAGCATATTCGGTAAACTCTGCAGGTTATAAATTATGTAGATTGAAGGAAGATGGAAGCTGGTTCCACAGTTTACCTGTCTAATACTCTAATATCACGCGAACTTGAGTCTCTGGTGGGGCTTCCCTAGGCTAAGTATGTAGCATTATTAAAATGTTCGTTATATTACCGGGATATCATAATGCTTCTACCACTATTTCCTTTCATCACCTCGGCTAAAATCTCACATGTCGAAGTTTAAATACAGATGATAACTGTTGTCCTGCCCGAAAGTCCCAAAAGTAATCCATAGAAATGTGTTAGTAATATCGAGGACTGCGACTGCACCTATAAATCTACCATCTTTTATTTATTTATTCATCATTATTTTTCTCTCGAATTGTTCTATATTTCCTGGTTAGCTCAACAGTTACACCAAGAAGCTAAGCTCCATTAGACATGTCCGTGTGTCTCGTCTTATTAAGGGGAAAATCGCGATTCCGCACATGCATATGCCGCGATTTCCTTTTGTCCTTGATGACAAGTAGTGATTATATATTTAGTTTGTTAATTCAGTGGAACAATTTGCTTCAGTTGTTATCATTTTAATTTCAGATCATTTTACTTTTTAGAGTATATAATAAATCTTAAGTAGCATTTAGATGACATACAATATTTTGTTTTAAATAAGTTTGGTAACATGAATCAAGAGATGCAATGTTCAATAATAATCTTTATATATTATCAAACATTTGTTTATGAATCTTCGCCTTTGTTTTTTATTTTACCAATTTTCTTCTATCTTTTAGAAAACAATCCTCATCTCAAGACCCCTGCCACCTTGAATCACATTTTTTGATCGATTTGTATGACTTGATACATGGTGATACCGAAGTGAAATATAGTCTAATATCCATTTAGTTGAATAGAAAATGAATGCCATCTGTGTTTTGAGGAATGACAAAGAGTCTTTCGGAAAAATCAAGTTTTCCCAAGAAAAGGACGGGGCTCCTACCACTTTGACTGTAAGTAATGCAAAAGGTTTCTGAGGACTTCTTCAAAATTAGAATTCACGAACTGCTGATATTCTTTTAAACCTAAATAAATAAATTTAAACATTTCTGACCCTTTCAGAGAGACCTTTCTAATATCAATATTTTGAACAAAACCTGATTACATTTGTAAATCTGATTTGGTTCAAGAACCCTGATTTACTATTTATCCAGGTCGAGCTAGAGAACGGTGCTCTGACTGAAGGCCATCATGGATTCCATGTACATCAGTTCGGGGACAATACCAATGGTTGTATTTCTGCTGGACCCCACTTCAACCCCTTCAAGAAAACTCATGGAGGACCAACGGATGAGGTAGCATAAGTTCTTTGTTTCTCTTAGATTTGTTGCTGCCGAATGCCTACCGTAATAAAATTTTTTATTCGAATGTTGTTGAAATTGATACTGCTATTTGTTATCTGAATACCTTACTTGAAGACATATTTATATTTGACATAATTCCGGTCACGACCTAAATGATTTTGGAACGAAATTATGGGATTTTTTTTGAAAACCACCGCATTTCGTACCCCAAATTAAATCATGGTATTTGGGGATTTATTTCATTTCTTTATTTTACAAAAATGAAACCCAATAATCGAAAAAATCAATAAAATAAAATATGAAATTTGAAATATTACAAGTCAATTTCTTCTTGATCTTCTTGATCTTCTGGTTTTCGACGTTTATAGAATTTTTAAATTCTATGTTAAAAGCAATTCATGAACTGTAGAATGATTACTCTCTGAAAGTAAACGGATGCAACATGTCTGATGAAGATTTCACTTTGAAGGTGAATTTTACTTACAATTCTCTAGGTGAGGCATGTGGGAGATTTGGGTAACGTTGCAGTTGATGGAGCCGGAAAATGCACAACTGGTTAGTTGATAATATAATACTCCCCCATACAATAGCTGTAAGTGTCTGCCTAATTCTGATTTGTTACCTTAGTTTCTTAGTACTAACAGTAACATTCAATATTTTCAGTGATCACTGATCCTCAAGTGTCACTTTTTGGAGCTAACTCCGTCATCGGTCGAACTATGGTTCTGCATGCTGGAGTTGACGACCTTGGCAAAGGTAATTACTATGTAACACTTTATACAATTCATTTATTTATTATAAATATAATTAACAGATTTTACCAAAACCCATAATTGGGCAGAGTGGACCGCTGCCAGTGTCTCTCTTTCCCAAACAAAAGTATATGATATTAATTTGAATGACCGTCTGCAAATGCAAAATGATACCGAGAATTAAATCGGACGCTCGCTTTTTCCATTCATTCACGGCTTACGAATTGTGTAAATAAGTTTCGATTAATTGATTTTCGATTAATCAATCACACGCTGTACAAATCTATTTTGGTTCCTCTCGGGTCGATACCCAGTATTTCGGGATAATATAAGGGCGGTAATATAGTTAGCGTCAAATTAGCTGATGTTTATTGAATCGTTATTGCTGAGTACAGCTGCCTTCGGGTAGTTATTTCATATAGTTCTTCTTAATCTATTACAATTGTAATTGTAAATGAATGGGAAAAGCGAGCAACCGATTTCATTCTCGGTATTATTTTGCATTTGCAGACGGCCATTCAAATTAATATCATTTAGTACTTTTGTTTGGGAAAGAGACACACTGGCAGCGGTCCACTCTACCCAATTATGGGTTTCGGTCAAATATCATCTCTTTTTGATTAATGTCAGGGTAATGGGACTACTGCGGAAATACCTTAGTATTGCTGTATAACTACTACAAAAGTAATCCCGATAACACTCGACCTCTGCCTGATCCAGAGGATGTCGCCATTTTACCTTCACACAGACATCGAACGCTATAAGAAGATGACGATCAGACCTCGTTAATGTCAGGGTACTTTACAAAGTCGAAATATAAAGTGATAACTTCATTAGATAAGGAGGTAATTTCAACGATTTCGAAATTTTTCCTTTGAAAACATTTCCTTGTGTTTAGACAAGAATATCTGTCGATCACTGACTGAATATGCCACTTTATACTCATTCAAGTTGGCATTAAATTCATTTATAAATTTACTATTTAACTGTCGTGGGAAAGCAGAATCTAATCGACATCACGAATGAGCAAAATTCTCACCTTTCGCACGTGCAAACTTCGAGCGGACATTGCGTGCGCATTTAAAATTGAATCACCGTAATTTTTTGCATATTGGTATTTTATATATATAGTTTGATAAACATTATACAAAGTTTCAAAAAATGTCAATGAGAACTTACATTACAACGGGACTCCAAAGTTGATAAAAATCGTAAAAATAGCAATTTTCAATCAATTTGGGCGTGTCCCCACGTGTGCAACTTTTTGATTCTTAACTTTCAAATTAGCCTAATGCACAATATAGACCTATAGAAAGCAGAACTGAGCTCCACAACCCAAGGGATGGCCCAACACCAGAGAATACTAAATCACAACAGTAAACTTTACTGTTGGGGGTATAATAGCATAGGGGGTAAATAGTATAGTGAGTATAACGGCGGCGGTTGTGCTTGCCAGCACTGTGATCAAGTCTGTCAGTCTGAGCAAATCGTTCTATTGCAAATCCGTAACGACTATTTTCTTGTTTTTGTTGTGAATTTCTATAAGTACTAACACGGGACAAAAGGAAATCGCGGCATGTACGGAATCGCGATTTTTCCCATTATTTGCGACAAATTTTATGTATAGTTTAATGTACCGCGAAATGTAATTCGCGATATCGCGATTTTTGGCCAAAATAATCGCGAAATCCTTTTGTCCAGCTGTACCAACAGCACAGCACAGGTAATAAAACCATTTTGACAGGTGGTAATGATGAGTCTCTAAAGACAGGTAATGCTGGAGGACGTGTAGCCTGTGGAATCATCGGGTTCTGCTCCTAATATCTTACAACTCTGAAGTAGTGACATTGAGTAACAATGTAACATCACTCTAAAATATGTACATGTTACTGTTACACTTACATGTATTTACTTTAAAATGATGGACAATGTATTGACTACATTATAATTTTTCAGTACCAAATGCTCAATAACCAAATATGTATATTTGTTTGATGTTAGAATAACCAGTATAAAAAGATGTTAAGTGTTTGCGTGACCCTCGTAATTGTTAGTTTCTCAAAATACCGGCGTATTTTGGTTACATTTTGGTTGTGATATTTTGTGAACTTTGATCTGGTATGATTGATGGATTTGAATTTTTGACAATTAAAAAGCTTAAAATGTTATGTTGATTCCTCAAACGTAAAATACATTTTTATTCTTTTATTTTGAAAGTATAATTTACTTATAAACTTGTTTTAAAAAGGGCTGTGTTGTTTAAGGGTGATTTGTGTATATAATATACACTTGAAATATATATGACTGGTTCATAGTAAATGTAGTCTAAAAACGTCGGTTTTCTTTTTGAGGAAACAGTTAATGATACTTTTTGAAGTTTTGCCTAATTTATTTGCATTTATAATCATTTATATTTTTGTTATACTGGATTGGGAGCTTTCTTTGACTAGGAATTTATTACAATCAGTAACTACTTCTATCTTCAGTCCAAAAGTAAATTATACAAGCATAACTACCATATACAATTGTTCAGTCATTTATCGATGAAAATTGGAATCATGTCAATGTTTAAAGATTTCACGTAGTAAAAAAATCAGCTTATCAAAAACGTCCTGAATCATAAATTGTTAGTGTTACTCGGAACTTTTATTCCAAGAAAAATGCGATTTTATAACTATCCGATGGTCCAACGGATTTTTACACACAGTTCGGAATTGTACTAAACTTCCCTCTTTGGTTTCAAACTCAATACAACTCTCGTGATTGCGTTTACCGTCTATATCACACTGCACTGAAACTCCATCGTTATCATTATATTGAATTACAAAAAGTCCCGTCTTCTTTAACGGCCTCCCCAAGTCAGGATGGGGTCTCCAAGTGGAGCCAACTATTGAGTTATCTTGGAACTTGACATCCAGCAGGCCCCCAAAGGGGTAATCCTCCCTGACCCACGTGCCGAGCAAGCACCCGTAGTTAGTCAGCACGTGTTTGTAAAACCACTCTGCGTGTTTGTTTGACAAGGCTATGAGGTGCGGACCGTAGTGGTGGACTGCAAGTGCGCGCCATATTCCGCCTGAGCGGGATATGTTGTTCAGGTAGCGGCACGTACGCAGGAGCTGTACAATATCTTTCTCTGGGGTGGAGAGATGTTATTGTTGGGTGGAAACCTCTCAAAGATGTTGGTTTATGTATATTATATATGGCTGCTTAATACACTGATTGATCAAACAACATCGGTGCAGATCAAAGTTCAGCTTAAGAGTAAACAAGCCAGATTAATCATGTTACAATCTAACCTGATAAACATGAGATGATTGCTAGTAGAACTTCTACTGGCAGATCCAGGAGTGAGCGCACCATTCTCATTGTTAGGTCACTGGTTATTAACTCCCATAGTAACTGGTTAGTAACTGGTTAGTAACTGGTTAGTAAATGGTTTGTAATTCTCATAGAGGTGTAACTTTTGGAGTTGTAACTTTTCAGGTTTGTTTGAGTCAAGTGATCGAATAAGAACCATCTTAGTCTAACTGATGGTTCCAAGGCCATTTAAGTATTATAATATAAAGCAATAATTTAGAAATAATACATAGCAAAAACTCTGAAGTACATGTTTACACAATTACAAACAATACATAACATGCATCAGAAAATAGTTGTGAACCGAAATCATCATGACATAGCAAATTAAACGATAGTGGAAACAAAAGTAGAATAGTTTAAACTAATGTAAGTAAATTAGGGAACTACTATTAAAAAAACGCGCACTTTTAACTAATTATCGTTGCAAACAGAGATGATCATCAGTAGGTTCCATTAAATCTATATGGGCCCTAATGTGCCTCCAAGTGCCTTCTGAGTGTAGTTATACATAATATTTAAACAGTTGTTTTCAATAATGAAGTTCACAAGGATACAACTGATATACTTAGGTCAACACTTGCTCTCCACACAACATTCAAAGCAACAATACTGCAGATATAGTTAGGTCGACACTGAGATCAAAGCAAATACAACAAAACGTTTGCCAAATACCAAACAACTAGTGTGTGTATTATTAGCAGACCAGTCAGCAAACAAATCAGCACTGGCGAGCCAATTAACAATCACTCCGATATGGGAACATTGCAATTATACCTGCTAGCAGCACAATAACTATCAACTGATAAGAACTCAGCACTCGGCAGGGGTGTTGTTATCAGAATATCAGATTCCTACTCAACAGACAGCTATGTAGACAGCCACCACAGCTACAGGATAGGGCGTGTGATGTGATACAATATACTACCACCCGTGATACAATACCAGCACACAGCCAGCAACAGGAAGCTTCAGTTTAATAATATATTCAACCGTGGGTATATTTTATAATAAAGCTGGACCAAGCTACCGCACAAATTTTAATAAAACTAAATCAAAAGAGCTGAGAGTGGCTAGAGTATGTAAGACTCTCAATTGGAGAACAGGTTTGTTGAAACCTGTCAACGCCACTGCTTCATGGGAGAGAGCTAGCTCACTGTACACAGGAGATTATACTGGTCATACGCCGTTAATTAGACTGCTAATTAATGATTGTTTAATTGCGAAATCATCGGTTGCCTTGAGTGGCTTGCAGCCGACTGTATGTAAAGGAGATTTTATGCGCATATTAATTAATGTATGAAGTGGTATGTTTAATTATATAGTTCATACTTCCACTCTATTCTGGTATTAAGCGGGATTTAGCGGGATTGTCATATCTGAGCACAAGTAGCAGTCTATACTTAACAAGATATGTAAGGCTTTGAAATACAGATGCCACATGGTTAGTGGTTACATGCATTATGACAGGTATAGCTGTAGTACAATGTATATGATAGTTTTAATGTAGAGAACTTTCCCCCTTGCCAGGCTATATATAACAAGTAGCTATACTAAAACAAGTGACTAATTGTCACTTGATCATAAGAAATTAAACTTAATTTTAACAGAAACTTAAAACGCACTGATATTGAATAATGGAATTGAAAATAATTTATTTTGTAACATTCATACTATAATAAATCCTGCTGAAAGTAAGTTATTTCCTCTAGCAGCTGGTATTTTGATTATAATGAATCAAATATTATGCAAACCTATTAATTCTAATTAAATCTAAATATTATTTGCTTTTAGCAAAATCTCAACATGTCTGGAGCAGCCCTTGTCAAGAACGTTGTACACTTCCTAAAACCCATAAGAGAGATAGTCGTCATGGCTCCTATCGTTTATTACGGTCTGTCTAAAGTCCAGGTCGTTCCTCCAAAGAGTAAGTTTACTGAAATTTATTCCTTATAATAAGAAACTTTTATTAAAACTCCCTAATTATGAAACTTTGATTAACGACAATTGAAAAAACTGGGTCACAATTGAAAAACTGGGACAGATAGTTTAAGTGTATTGCTGTGTCACACAGCAAAACGCTTGAACATTCTATCATTGATTTAACTTAAACGGGAAAAGAGCAACACATTCAGTTGAAGAAAAGAGAACAATATACATTACACTTTGAGTTGATCCCATGAAGTGCTGTAATAGTGTAATTGTATGAACTAATTATATCAATTTCAGAGTAAAAGATGAAGTTTAAACCTTGGTCTCTCTCTTCTCTTCTAGGCGACTTTGGATTCTTTGGTGATCTAATCGTACTTCTGGACTCAGCTTAAATAGTTTCTAATGCATTATTAATTTATTATGTCACGTAGTGTTCACTCATAGACTTTAGTTCGTTGCTTGTGAGGATGTTTTGGCTTCATTTTCGGAGATGAGTTTGGTTTATATAATTGTGTATAGTTAAAGGTACTACTTTGAATAAAACTTTGTGGTAACAACCGTCGTTTTATTCATAGAGAACTTGTCAAAACAAATTCAATATGCTACAGATTTCATGAAAAAATTCGTTTTTTGGACGGACCAAATTGTGAAGTTCAGTCAAACTTGTGTGCTTTCATAATTATAAGAACTGACGGGTAAATTACTCCAATTATGATATCCGTCGCATGAATTGATATCCTTTCGCTGTTAAAATAAAGTCATATTCGATAATTTAATTACATCTGATAAGAATTTCAAATATTCTATAACCCTGTGTGAAAGTTACAATCAATTCAAAATTGAGATGACAGCAACTAAAATTATAAAAAAAATAATTTATACGATTAGAAGACTGTTGACGCATATAATTATAAACAAAGTTTAAAGTTAAATTGTGTGATGTTACAAGTTTATTACTAGTTCATGATTTAGGACGGTGTTTGGTCCCGCCCTCGTGTCCATGTAAATGTTAGTCATGTCATTCGCCCTCGTGTCCACCCTTTTAAGAATGTTCCGCTGTTGTGCCTACCCGGTAGTCAGACTACCGCTCTCGTGTCCCTCCGCTCTTGTGTCCACCTTGTTTTGGAAAGTTCCGCCCTAGTGTCCTCTATTCCCTGTAATCTGATTAAAGTATTTATCCCCATATTATAACATATATTTATCAGTCCCTCCTCAGCCTCTCCTTATCTTGTAGTTTTACTGTTAAGTTCTAGGTTATTACGAGTTTTAACTTACAATCTACACCTAAATACACGTTTTAAGCATCTTAATTCCTTGAATATATTGATGTACCGTGTGTGGTATCTTGTCATATCTTGATTTATTAATAAGTACTTTATTTGGAATCTTGCGATCGACATGACAGTTTAGAAGCTACTTGCCAATAAATATTTTTCGAAAGTTTTTGTATAATGTCTTTGCAGTAGATCACACGTAGTCAGTAATTCACCCAGTATGTACAGCCCATGATTTAACATAAACTGTAACAACTGAAGTTAACCGTTAGTAAACTAAGTATTCAAAGTATTTGAGTACTTAACCTTAGGAGTGAGTAGGTATCCCTCCTTTAATTCCTCTCAAATTACTATGAGCGGAAATGTAATCAAACTTCTTTAGCTTGAATATTGAATTGTGTTTCCAGAATGTAAACTCTGACCCAGTAAATGTCCTAAATTCGATTTACATGGCTTGTTCAGAATGCTGTTTAAAAAACGAGTAAGTTCTCCCTCTGCCTTTTGTTGTTTTGTGTCCTTAGCTAGGCTGGTGAATCTTAACTTATAATTGATGCCTGAATAGTGAATGCTGGCTTGAAAAAATTCAGTAGTCTCTCGAGCATTTTATAATGCAAATTATCAATAAAAGTTTGTTATCTTGTCAACACATAAAATCAATATACTAAATTAAAAAAACAAAAATTGCCGATTTAGAAACCGATCAAACCCTCAACTAAATTAAAAAGTAAAATCCAAATCACATATTATAACACACAAATTATCAAAATCTCCGGGCCTTAACCAGTAACTGTTCAGCAAGTAAAACACGTAGCATAGAGCTGTAGTAGCAGCAACACCCCGCCATGTTGTCGTGTGCTTCCGGCCTATTCCGACAAGTGGCCTGCCGACCAGTGCCGCTCTACTCCCTCAGCCGTGCCTCCTCTCTTACCTCCTCTTTAACCTCATCTAAACCTCATCTAACCTCACCCTCCTCACCATCCTACACGCAGTCCCGGAGCTTGTCCTTGTCTTCTGTTTTCAGCCCGGAGAAGAGTGTGGCTCCTGCTGGCTTTACCAACAGATATGCTATGATTATACCGGCTTTTCTCACCCACATTTGTATCGGTAAGTCAAGATAGCACTGTGTGTTTCACTAGATTCTACCGATCTACTACTAACTATTTGAGATACTTGAGACACTTGAAATGTTTGACATATTTGAAATATCTCTCCCTCTTCAGGAGCTCCTTACGCCTGGTCTGCAATGAGTGGACCCTTAACACGTGACTTTGGTTTTGTGTGCTCGTCCGCTGAAGACTGGTCCATGACCTCCGCTGTGGTCCCCATGTCCATCCTCTTCGCATTCCATGGTTTCTCCGCGGCGCTAGCTGGTAAATGGCAGATGAAGGTAGGGCCCCGAGCTGCAGTTGCAGCAGCTGCAGTAGCGTTTGGTGGTGGCTTCCTGTTATCAGCTGCTGGGGTGGCGACGCACAATATTGCGCTCGTTTACCTGGGATACGGTGTTTTAGGAGGTATTGGGCTGGGCTTGTCTTACACGCCTCCTATACAGGTCAGTTTAGCCAGCTTAGATGGAATGATTCTTAGCTAGACAATTTTACCTTCATCTACTGCTCTTACTCCCTTTTTTTTACCCGATAATAAAACTTGTTGTTTAAGGGGGCAGGGGGGGTCTTCATGGAAATTTTCTCAAAATCGACTTTTTAGTTGTTTCTGATAGAGGGGAGTGATATCTATCAGATGCTTTTAATCCGATAGAAAAATATTGCTCCTAGCCGAAATTATCGCCGGTAAAAGGTCAGTGCTTGTGTGTAATTGTATTGCGCGAGCGATTTTTGAACGTGTGCCCTGAAAATCGAGTCTAAAAATCTATCTTCTACATTTTTTAAGCAATCACCCTCAAACTTTCAGGATATGTTCTAAGGATCATTTAGAAGGGATTGTCCAGGCAAAATTTTGAGATAGGCCTTTAAACATTTTTTATTCGATTTTAAAAATCTTGGACCTCGAAAAATCGTCAAAAAACCAGGTCCAAGATTTTCAAAATCGAATAAAAAATGTTTAAAGGCCTATCTCAAAATTTTGCCGGGACAATCTCTTCTAAATGATCCCTAGAACATATCCTGAAAGTTTGAGGGTGATTGCTCAAAAAATGTAGGAGGAGATAGATTTTTAGACTCGATTTTCAGGGCACGCGATCAAAAATCGCTTGCGCAATACAATTACACACAAGCGCTGACCTTCTACCGGCGATAATTTCTGCTAGGAGCAATATTTTTCTATCGGATTAAAAGCATCTGATAGATATCACTCCCATCTATCAGAAACAACTAAAAAGTCGATTTTGAGAAAATTTCCATGAAGACCCCCCCCCCCTGCCCCCTTAAATCTTTAACACAATGTCCAACCTTCAGACCGTTATAGAGTGGTTCCCGGACAAGAAAGGACTAGCATCAGGACTCTGTATTATGGGGTTCGGGTCTGGGGCTCTCTTGTTTGCTCCGGTTGCTAATGTACTCTTGGAGAAATTCAGGTCAGTCTACACCATGTTCATCCCAATTTAGTTTCGTATCGATTTGGAGTTGAGCAACTTTCCAATTGATATGCAAAATCACACCTAAGTCCATTCGGCCTTGGCTCGGTTTTTATTAATTAACCCTGTCGAAAATTTTTGAAGCATGCCGGATAGTTTGAAGATGTGACTCTCTGAACTCTAAACCATTGTCCCTACAGTTCCCTACCTACGTACCTTGGAGCAGCAGTGGAGACTATAACAGAGAATGGGCGATTGTTTGCGGAGTCCGGGGGTAAGATGGTGGAGGTGGTGTACGCTAATGCTGCTGATCTTGCTAAGCTCTCTACACAAGGACTGCAGGAGGGATTCTACGTTGTTGGATCCGGAGACACCGGTTAGATAGTTTCTTAGATCGATTTTAATTTTACTTTTTAAATAGAGAATCAACACGACGCAGAAGTTCATATCACTGGTCAGGTAAAGCCTGTCTTTAAAAAATGTAAATCCAAAATCTCAACGCCCTTCACATAGGAGCGGCCATGACGCTGGCGACAATGGGAGTAGGATACACTTTAGCCATGATGGGATCCGCTCTAGCTATCAAGAAACCCCACCCCACCTACAAGATAACAGGAAGCTCTTCTGCCACGCCCACCCAGTCCCTGCAGAACGTGCATACTGACGACATGTTTAAGATGCCTCAGTTCATCGCCCTTGGATCAGCGCTCGTAGTGACCGCTTCAGGTTTGTGTGTGTGTGTGTGTGTGTGTGTGTGTGTGTGTGTGTGTGTGTGTGTGTGTGTGTGTGTGTGTGTGTGTGTGTGTGTGTGTGTGAGCAGCTACCTGATCATTCTAGTTAAATCTATATCTTTAAAAAAACAAATATTTATCTCTTCCATTGAAATTTATATATATAAGCCTTTACCATTAAAGAGATGACTTTGTGGAATGCGAATGGTTTAATTTATCTAAACCCCTGCTGATCAGGTGGTTTGGCGCTGTTGGGATCAGCAAAGCCGCTTATGTCGGAGGTATTCAGTGGAACACTCCCCACCATCGTGACTGCAGCCTTCGCTTCCTCCTTTATTCTTATGCTGAGTGTAGGAAACCTGGGGGGTCGTCTAGCCTGGGCTGCCATCTCCGACAAGATCGGACGTCCCGCTACCTTCCACATCTTCATGTTTGGTAGTATCGCTATCTACGCCGCCTTGCCCACTATCATCCGGCAAGTTGTGGAGTACCAGTCAGCCGCCTCTTTAGCCGCTTTCTGTGGCCTCAGTGTGGCGGCTATCTCAATGTTTGGGGGCATGTATGCTATACTTCCGGCTTATGAGAGTGACTTGTTTGGCTCAAAGTACGTGGGCGCTAACCATGGTAAAATGCTTCTGTTTAGCAGTACAGCCGCTATTGCTGGACCTTCAGCTTTCCTCTACTTGAAGGCTATCTCTGAGAAGGTGACGTGTGTAGCTGAATTCTTATCAAATTATTATCAATATTCATTATTCATTATTTATGTTTTTAAAATATTACGTTTACATGCGGTAAATTGTGTCTGAGTGACTTGAACTACAATGTTTGCACATAATTTCCTGGCTGGTTTTCATACACATTTAACATATAAGCATATCTTGATTACTGGAGGTCAACCTTCGAGAACCAGTAAAAATGTCAGATGGCGGCGACTCGGCGCGGCTGTGTACACATTTTGTACGTAATGAGCTGGCAGAGTTCCAATAATTATCTAATTAGGTAACCATTATGTGTACACTGCACGCCAGGAAATTGCCTCACTATACAATACGACTAATTAGCTACATTCTTATATACGTGTACTGATATGATGCACATCTCTCTGCTAAGTATTTGTTCTGTCGTGAAATCTTAAACAGTTACGCAGTCAACGGCGAAATGTTTTTTGTTTATCGAGTTTTTCTTCGCCGCAAATTTAGGTTGTACTCGTACATTGCCAATTCTTCCAGTAACAAAGTAATAGCAGCAGTCGGCACTGTAGTTGTAGCAAACGATAATGGCACTTGTTTCAACTTTCAACAAAATTTCCTTGTTTTCAGGCAGCTATAACCGATCTCCTAAGTAAAATAGACCCAGCTGCGTTCCTAGAAAAGTTTGGTTCAGACGTGAGTGCAGTAGATGCTCTGATAGAAGCCAAGACAGTTACAATAGCTAAACTGATGGAGATAGCTCCTGCTGGGGTAATGGATCCAACACCCTTCCTGTACGATACTTCCTTCTACTCCATCGCTGCTGCTATTGGTCAGTGTTCTCTTTTGCTAATTTAATGAAGTGAGAAGTCTGTGTAATCATTTGTAGTTCCTGATTTAAATAGGTTACCGGATCCTATGGTCTCTTAATTATATCAAAATCTAGATAGATTCATTTGAGATGCAAGTCGTTTAACAAATTGGCATGTTCCATGTAAGATGTACAGTTAAAACGATTAAAAATAACTAAATCCACGAAACAAAATATCAGCTTAATCTAGAATTACGTACCCATGATAACTAAAAAAACAATATTCTAAGTTTCAAAATCTTCTATAACAACTAATTGTGTTAAATGATATAATTCGGCCAACATCTGATTGAAACGTCTACCATCGCCTTCCTCCTTTATATTTTCCTCCTTTCTTTTTTGGTTTCTCAGTTTCGTCCCTTGTTTCGAACTTTACCTCCTCCTCATCAGAATCAGCTGTTCGTTTCTCAAACATTTCACCAGCTGAAAATCCTAAATTCAAGAAGACATATAAAGGTTAAAAATCTACTGTGCTACTCAGACTCTGTATAAGCTATGTACACAATTAGGCATTCACGGCTTATTCAAATCAGCTTCCGTTAACGCCTAAATTTTCCACTATACTCTTTCAAACAAAGCATTAGATTTTGAAGATGAAAGATGACAAGTTATATCACAAAGTATTGAACATATCGGATGCAGGCCTGATTACACGGACATACCTTCGGTGATAGTAACGAGGGTGAAGAGAAGTAGCAATGTCAGTATAAACACCTTCATGATAGTGCTATCTAATGTCTTGTTATACTTTTTAAAACTGGTTTAGAAGGTTAAACGAGATCATATGAGAGTTTAAAGAAGCTATGACATTTCAAACTTTGTTGAAGAATTAAAAAAAGTTTAAATTGTTAAGGGGGCAGGGGGGGTCTTTATGAAATTTCTCTCGAAATTGATTTTATAGTTGTTTCTAATAGAGGGGAGTGATATCTATCTGCTACTTTTGGTCCCATGGAAAAATATTGTTCCTAGCCGAAATTATTGCCGGTCAAAGGTCAGCGCTCATGTGTAATTGTATTGCGCGAGCGATTTTCAATAGCGCACCCTGAAAATCGAGTCTAAAAATCTATCTTCTCCTACATTTTTTGAGTAATCACCCTGAACCTTTCAGGATATGTTCTAAGCACCATTTAGAAACTTTTACTCTTTTTAGAATTTTTTGGAAAAATCGTCAAAAAAAGAGGTCAAAGATTTTCAAAATCGAATAAAAAATTTTCAAAGGCCTATCTCGAAATTCTAAAAAGAAAAAGTTTCTAAATGGTGCTTAGAACATATCCTGAAAGTTTCAGGGTGATTACTCAAAATCCCCCCCCCCTGCCCCCTTAATTAATAATGATATATTATGCTAATGCTGAATTGTAACTATCTAGAATTTCAGTATTCTATTCGAACTTAAAAGTAATGATACAAAAATGTGAAGTTGAAGTAACGATACAAAAATGTGAAGTTGAAGTAACGATACAAAAATGTGAAGTTGAAGTAACGATACCACCCTTACTTTTAACAATTTCAAGACAAACAACGCACCAGAAAAGTCCAAAAAGAGAAAATTAAACAATTGACAAACAACTGAGAACGTTGAAATATCTCTGTCTCTCTCTCTCTCTCTCTCTCTCTCTCTCTCTCTCTCTCTCTCTCTCTCTCTCTCTCTCTCTCTCTCTCTCTCTCTCTCTCTCTCTCTCTCTCTCTCTCTCTCTCTCTCTCTCTCTCTCTCTCTCTCTCTCTCTCTCTCTCTCTCTCTCTCTCTCTCTCTCTCTCTCTCTCTCTCTCTCTCTCTCTCTCTCTCTCTCTCTCTCTCTCTCTCTCTCTCTCTCTCTCTCTCTCTCTCTCTCTCTCTCTCTCTCTCTCTCTCTCTCTCTCTCTCTCTCTCTCGTAGTGTAGCCAGCATCATGGGATGACGTGCAAACCAGCAAACTGTGTGGTTACTAGTTAGGTTGTGGGTAATTGTGAGCAGCACGGGTCTTGTACGTCTGGTGGAAGTGATTTAAAAGGGTGTGTCCTGATGCAATATATAGCTGTGAAGTGAAGGGGTTCAGTTAAAAGGGTTATTGTCTGCAGTACTCAACTATTGTCTGCAGTACTCAACCCTTTGTAACGTAGTTAGCGCCTGTAAAACTGGTGTATTGTACAGTAAGGGAGACGTAAGATGTGCGTAAGAAAACTCTCTGTTTTGTAGTTAGAGTGGTACAATGGTTACGCTAACAACCATTGCTAATAAACACGGGCCTAACGGTAACTGAGAGTATTTGACGAATAGTATAGCAATTATTTAAATAGTATAGCAATTATTTAAATAGTATATCAATTATTTAAATAGTATAGCAATTATTTGATATAATTGTATACGACCTGCTTTCTAATATATACAAAGGAATGTTGCTAATGATAATTATAAACAAAATGTTGCTCTACGGCGAGTATAAATTGTTACAATTACTGTTGTTATATGCTTTAATTGTTACAATTATTGCTTTGTGATTAAATATTTGGATAGTTAGTTGGTAGGACTCATTAAATAAGTCGCATATTTAGCATTATAAGGTTTACAGGTTTACAAAGATAGATCTATATATTACAGTAAAAACAACAACCAAGTACAAGTGAAGTGTGAAGAATGAGTTCTATTAAATTTCTGATTAAGATTTAAAGCAGACATTTAAGAGTGTGTTTATTCCCAGGTATTGGAGCACTGGTACATTGTATGATAAAACCAGTCGACCCAAAGTGGTACGAAAAAGTGGAAAAGTTGGAAAAGTAGTTCTAAGAGCTGTTTTTAATTTAAAAGGCTACCCTTTTATAGCTAGGCTATTGATGATGTGTGGCACTGTGATGTGCGGTACTGAGTCGCTGATGTAGAGAGTGGAGGAGAATGTATTATTTAGAGTTCAGACAGAATATGTTAATAAGTACTGGGTGATATTATAAAGAATGAGTGGTTTTTAATTTTTGTTATTTGCATGTTTTTTCTGCTTTTATGCTATAAAGGTTTCTGTTGAGAGTATTATTAATTATGCCGTTTACGTTTGCGTGTGATTCCTGAAATTTTCCTGATTTTACTACTGCTATAACTTATGATAAAGAGATGACTGTTATTTATGAGACTTATTAGGTATTTAAAACTAACTAGACTGCATTAAACCATTTTTATTACTGCTAGCATGCTAACCTGCATGTATTCTGTAAACTGGCAGGTCGTAACACGATTTGATTTTTAAAGAGACATTTAGTTTTATTGAACAATTTTTATTAAAAACGAATTTTATCTGATAAATCGAATTTATTTGTAGTACTAAAAATTAATTTGATCATACCGAAAATCACTCATGTCTCATTTATTTTACATGTCTTAATCCTGAACACTAAATTTCTAGATCCAGTCTTTATAGCTTATTTGTCTGTGCTTCAACAATAAAATTCGCATTCCATAATAATTAATAGACGTGTATCCTAGGTATGACTGATGATTGGTTTGAAAGGGTTCAATATTCCTGGTTTCAAAAATTCATCATAAACTGTGTCTGCAGTGGAAGTCTCCCTAAACATGTTGCTTTTATCATGGACGGGAACAGAAGATTCGCGCAAGTTAAAGATATCACTCGATCTGAATCGTATGCTATGGGATTCGATAAGATCGGAGAAATATTAGATTATTGTGAAACTTTCAGCATCAGGTATGTTTCAGTGTATGCTTTCAGCAATGAGAACTTCAAAAGATCAGAAGAGGAGAAAGCAGAGCTGTTTTCGTTAATGTCAGATAAAATGAACTATTTGCTCAGCAAAATAGACAAACTCCACGAAAAAGGGATCAGAATAAACGTGTTGGGAGACATAACACTTTTCCCAGCCCACATAACCAAAACAATGGCCCAACTAGAACTAGAAACACTGAACAACTCCGAGTTCTGCCTGAGTTTGTGTCTGGCGTACACGTCACGTGACGAGATCACCACCTCAGTGAACTGCATGGCTCAAGGTGTGGCCCAGGGTAAACTCCGGGTAACAGATATAAACGAGACTTTACTAAACTCCTGTTTGTACAGTGAGGATCTGCCCCCGGTTGATATGTTGCTGAGAACGTCAGGGGAGGTGCGGTTATCTGATTACATGATGTGGCAAGCTAACTTTGCTGCCCTGCAGTTTGTCAAGGTGCTCTGGCCTGACTTTGGCTTCTGGCACCTAATTGGTTCCTTGCTAGACTACCAGAGACAGGAACCGTTATTAACAGAACACAGAGAAACATACAAACCCTTCTTAGAGAAGATGACAAAGTCAGAGCTAGCGGCAGTTGCTCACGCAGAACACTGCAGCCTCAAGTCACACGAGGAATGCCACTTTAATGAGGCGGTCACAGAGGCGTATGTAGAGTCTCACCTGAGGAGGACTGAGCAGTTTGTGAGTGAGTTGAAGGGTGAGAGGAGGGTGCTGTTGGAACAGTGTGCTCAGCTTACTGTTGAAGGGTGAGAGGAGGGTGCTGTTGGAACAGTGTGCTCAGCTTACTGTTGAAGGGTGAGAGGAGGGTGCTGTTGGAACAGTGTGCTCAGCTTACTGTTGCTGGGGCTTGAAGGGTGGGAGGAGGGTGTTGTTGGAACAGTGTGCTCAGCTTACTGTGGCTGGGGCTTGAAGGGTGAGAGGAGGGTGTTGTTGGAACAGTGTGCTCAGCTTACTGTTGCTGGGGCTTGAAGGGTGAGAGGAGGGTGCTGTTGGAACAGTGTGCTCAGCTTACTGTGGCTGGGGCTTGAAGGGTGAGAGGAGGGTGCTGTTGGAACAGTGTGCTCAGCTTACTGTTGAAGGGTGAGAGGAGGGTGTTGTTGGAACAGTGTGCTCAGCTTACTGTGGCTGGGGCTTAGTGTTTTGTCATTACTTGTGTTTTATTGTTTGTTAGTTTCGTCAGATGGTTTAGTTCTGATCGCACATTTACATTTTATGGGTATATTTTTGTAGAGTAACTGATTTTATCATAATATCTTGACTGGGAAAGAAAAAACAGTAATTGTTGTTGTCAATTTATTTAACTGTACATTTATTTCGAACGGTAATTTAAGTAATCAATGATTTAACAATTACTACATCGTGGCTCCGTTTACAAATTATTGAGAAGTCAATGAGATTTCGTATTTTTTTAGCTACCCTGTAGCCGGGTAGTTGACAAGTGTAAAGTGGGAATTCTCTAATAATTGTTGATCAATGTAATTAAATTGCGTTTCTCTGTGTTTACATTTTATCAGCGTTTAAATACTTATGATCACTACTTAAAATTACCTTTTTGTGTGATCGATATTATAATAAAAAAAAGACATGAATCTTCTTTAAATGTTCCCAATAACCTAATGCCTTTTACTTTCAAAACCCTAACCACGTGAACTAAATTTCTAACCACCATCCCCCAGGCCTGAAACCTCTCGGTAGACTGGCAAGGATTTCAGCACTGCATGTACATCTGCAGTAGGGTACTTTTCAAACCCTCCTCTGCTGCCCAACCTGTGACATGTGTCAGAAACATCGGCGTCGTCAAGGTCAAATCCACCAGGGTTAAGAGAAAAGACACTAAAACTGTAACTCCCACTCCGGTTAAGAAGAATTCCCCTAAAAAGGAGAGGTCTAGTTTTAAGAACACTTTATCAGATGTGTCGCACAATCTTTCACCGATTGTTCAGAGCTTAAACCCTGAAATCGCCCACAAACTATACTCTAAATTTTGTATGAACGTTCTTAAAAGCTATGGTTTTAGCCTTCAGTTTTCACACAGCTCAAAATCGCACTCTAATCTAACTGGAGAATGGAATTTACCTGGTCACGAGTTCAATGTTGAGGCGTCATGTACCCTTCATCGGACTGAGAACATCCAAGAAATCAGAAACAACGACTCACTACTTTTACAACCTGCACCCGAGAAAACTATCGGGATTCTGATAAACAATGTGGGCTTCAAGGTGCCAACCATCAGAAAGTTTGCCCACTCCGAGAACCCCTGCATATTGTTATCTGTATTTGATAAGACTACTAATTGGTTGAGTGAGCCATCTCAGACTCACTGGACACGACATAAAGTCAGGAAGTGTCTCCATAACCAGCTGTGGGACAGCCAAGTTGGGTTCTCAGTTCACAAGTTCGGAACTTCTGAAGTTGAGATCCCCCAATGTAACTTAACCCGTGGTCTGTCTCTCGTTCTTTTCAACAAAGCGTTAATTTCCCTTGCACCCCAATTATCAGCCGGTAAGCTGATCTACGAGTGGCCCTCTGGGACAGAGGATAAACGCCAACTTAAAACTCACTACCACTCAACAATCCTGATAAACACAGAGACTGAGTCCAGGCCGGAGAGGTTGGATCTGTATGATGTGCTGGAGAAGGAACGCAGGCTGGAGTCAGCACTGTTGAAATCTAGGGGGGTTGAACGAGAAGTTGATTCAGAGGAACCGTTCAGTATTGGAGAATACTTTATGAATTACGAGGCTATCAACTGGGGATCCCCCGGCTCGAAAGTGTTTGATTTTAGTATTTTAAATGGTATTGACTCTCAATTAGTTAACCCTACCCGATCTAGAACTTTGTAGCATAGGATTAGTTACGACTTACGATAGTGAAGTTCGAATATCTCTCGCTTTCTGAGACAACTTTGTTTTACCCTGAATTATTTAGTCTGAATTGGTGTTTGTTGGATTTAGATGAGACTTTTTGATATTTTTAATATGAGAAGGCACATTTTGTGCTTCAGTGACCTAATATAAACTTCATGATGTTTGTAAAAAGACACAGCCATTCAATATTTATTTAAGTGACCCTCTTATGTTTTTTGTACTTAAGGAACGAGTCTAGTAAAACTTTTTGTAAACTGTTACTTTTAGGTCTATCATTAATCACCCTCAAAATTTCTAACTTATTCAAGAAATTTGTTGTTGTTTCTCTGTGTCTTCATGAAAAAACAGTAGCTACAGTCCAGTCTGTACAATTCAAAAGTTCAAATATCTACCGATTTGGAAGCGTTAATAGAATTTTAAGAAATTATAAATTCTCCTAATACTTACAATAGAGTGAGTAGAGTGAATTCTGAATTAACCCCAAGTTGTCATCTATTCGCACTAGTAAACATTACAATATTATCCATCTCTCTAACTCTCCCGCACCAGGGAGGGATGTTGGAATCAGACTTGCTGGAGAACTACAAGTACAAAGATGCGCTAGATTCCGCCAGTTCCTTCAACACCAAGCTGCTGGTGGAGCGACAGAGCAGACTCCCCTTCCTTGATACCCAGACTAACATTGCCCAGGTTAGTTCCTGTTAGTTCCTGTAATATAGTAGTGGGTCATCAGACCGTGAAGATGATTTAATAATCACACGGATCACACCTGGTGGGGATCATACACAATGTATGTAATGTCATACATTACATACATTTAACATTACATACATTACATACATCATGTATTTTGTGTAGCAGTAAGATGGGTTATTGAGGATTGAACGACTACTATACTGTTTCATTATAGTTATTATACTGTTTCATTGATACTGTACTCTCTCTGATAACAAACACTTCACCAGTCACACACTCGCACACTGAATAGTGAACACTCAGCATCATTTCACTGGGACTCCACTCTCCTCACACCAAGAGACAACACTCAGCATCATTTCACTGGGACTCCACTCTCCTCACACCAAGAGACAACACTCAGCATCATTTCACTGGGACTCCACTCTCCTCACACCAAGAGACAACACTCAGCATCATTTCACTGGGACTCCACTCTCCTCACACCAAGAGACAACACTCAGCATCATTTCACTGGGACTCCACTCTCCTCACACCAAGAGACAACCATTTCACTGGGACTCCACTCTCCTCACACCAAGAGACAACACTCAGCATCATTTCACTGGGACTCCACTCTCCTCACACCAAGAGACAACACTCAGCATCATTTCACTGGGACTCCTCACACCAAGAGACAACACTCAGCATCATTTCACTGGGACTCCACTCTCCTCACACCAAGAGACAACACTCAGCATCATTTCACTGGGACTCCACTCTCCTCACACCAAGAGACAACACCACACCAAGAGACAACACCACACCAAGAGACAACACCACACCAAGAGACAACACCACACCAAGAGACAACACCACACCAAGAGACAACACCACACCAAGAGACAACACCACACCAAGAGACAACACCACACCAAGAGACAACACCACACCAAGAGACAACACCTACCTAATGTTGGTGTGCTTGTGTAGGTAGCTTGTGTTCTATGTTTATTATTTCTCACCATTATTATATAAGCAGGCAGCTGTGTAACATAATTCACATGAGCATTGACCAAATCATCTTAATTCTCCCTCACTTAAAATGTACCGTTATAGGAGGATTAGTTTATTTATTGTCTAATTAATAACAATATATGTGCCATTTAAACTCTACAAATGGTTTAATAATCATAATATGTCAATACTTTCACACATTCATGTGTATCTAAAAATCCTAATTTAAGAAATACTAAACTCTAATCCTCTGCAGGTTGACTGCCATATATGGAAGAAGAAATGCGAGAGAGTAGAGCCTGTAGGTAAGGGAATAGAGTACGCCTACCAGATGAGGTACTGGAAGAAGTTACCTAAAGCTAAGAAGAAACCTCCCGCTCCTGAAGTCGTCGTCAGTACGGAAGAGGTAATTGACTCTATTATAGCGATAGTTTAGTTTTGTGAAGTTTCGTTTTTTGTAGTGTTGGATATTTTGATTTCAGACAGTAAACTCCCAAATTTTCCTGGGCCCATATTATCAATAATTTTAGATCATCTAACCACATACCATGACCAGCGATACTACTCATTAAATAACATGGTCCACATACCACACACCACGTGACCTTACTACAACTCACTCCAGGGAGCAGCGGCTGGCTCAGAGGACGTGCCGTTATCAATAAAACCAGAGTTAGTGAGCGAGGAGAGCATGGGGCTTGATACTGGACCCTCTAGTGAACCTACCCCTGAGGAGCTCAGCCCTTCTAGTGATGATTATGAGGTGTGATATAATAATACTTACTGATCTGTTCTACAGTAGCTTCGTGCTGAACTTATTTAATGTATCCTAGTATGTTAAGTTAGAATTTATCCTAGTTTCGCCCAATCACTTTTCAGTATTTACTTTTCAATATAAATTAAAAACTCTAAAGAGAAAGTCCTTCCTTACCCAAACCACCCAGATGTACTACGAAAGGAAGCGTAAGCGACAGAGTAGAGGTAACAGACGAAGTAAAGGTCCGGTAGAGAACGTGAGACGTGGCTCCAGATCACGCAAAAGTAGTGTTATATCAACAAGGAGTACTAGGAATATAAAAGTAGAAGAAACTGAACATGAAACTGATCCTACCTCATCCGAAACTCCTAAACGTGAGTTTTATTATTATACCTGAGCGGAATTGGTTCAGTATTTTCTATTCACACCTTTGTTTTGATTAATTTTACTCTCTAACCATTAAGATTTATTTATGAATCAACATTAGCTCACCACTTCTCACCAATTCTCACCACTTCTTACCACTTCTCACCACTTCTCCCTCTCACCACTTCTCACCACTTCTCACCACTTCTCCACACTTCTCACCACTTTTCACCACTTCTCACCACTTCTCACCACGTTTCACCACTTCTCACCACTTCTCACTACTTCTCACCACTTCTCACCACTACTCACCACTTCTCACCACTACTCACCACTTCTCACCACTTCTCACCACTTCTCACCACTTCTCACCACTTCTCACCACTTCTCACCACTTCTCCACACTTCTCACCACTTTTCACCACTTCTCACCACTTCTCACCACTTCTCACCACGTTTCACCACTTCTCACCACTGCTCACCACTTTTCACCACTACTCACCACTTCTCACCACTTCTCACCACTTCTCACCACTTTTCACCACTTCTCACCACTTCTCACCACTTCTCACCACTTCTCACCACTTCTCACCACGTTTCACCACTTCTCACCACTGCTCACCACTTTTCACCACTACTCACCACTTCTCACCACTTCTCACCACTTCTCACCACTTCTCACCACTTCTCACCACTTCTCACCACTTCTCACCACTTCTCACCACTTCTCACCACTTCTCACCACTTCTCACCACTTCTCACCACTTCTCACCACTTCTCACCACTTCTCACCACTTCTCACCACGTTTCACCACTTCTCACCACTTCTCATCACTTCTCACCACGTTTCACCACTTCTCACCACTTCTCACTACTTCTCACCACTGCTCACCACTGCTCACCACTTCTACCTCCATCAGCTGTATCAGAGGTACCCCAAGAAGGAGCTGAAAAGAAGCCTCCTAGTAACGTGTGTGATTTCTGTCTCGGAGATGCTGAGTGAGTTTAACTTTAAATAATTATCGTCCGACCCTTTTTGATATTAGCGGTCATAACTCATTACTATAACCAATGGTATATTTTCCCTAACTTATGCTCTACCCTCCTGAGCCCTGGAGGTGCCGTATTTTCTAATTTCTTTACGTAACTTGAATATTTTGTATAATTAACCAATTTCCCACCCAGGAAGAAGAAAACAGACGAAGCCATGATATCCTGTGTGGACTGCGGCAGATCAGCTCATCCCTCCTGTCTCCAATTCGAGGGATCTCTGGCAGAAAACGTTAAGAGCTACAATTGGCAGTGCATAGAGTGCAAATCGTGTAGCATTTGTGGTAAGAAGCAAGCAAAATGTACCTGTTGAAAATAACTCTTAGTCACGCTGATCACTTCGACTCTAATTAATTAATTATAGTTTAATTAGGTAGTTAACATTAGGTTGTATAGTTGAAGGTGGCTGGATGATGATTTGTATTGTAAAAGTTCTTTGTTCGAGACAGATGCTGCCCCGTTTAATATGCTTTATAAATCGTTCTGGCGCTTTTTGTTTTTTCTTTAACTTCTGGGATTATACTACCTTACTCGGGATTATTACGACGGGTTTATTAACGACCGGTTAAAATATGGTTCGGGAAAAATATGGCGAAATTGCTCAAAACCCACCACATTTTCCCGGTCGCCATTTTACCGGTGTCCAACCTTTCAATTTTAGATTCAAAAATTTTGTCTCAGATGTAAATTTCCTTATTAGAGATAAGCAAGTTTAGAAATTTTCGCATTGCTAAAACTTGTGAAACAAGTAGAATTATCAATAATTGTTGAAAGTAGACAGAAATAATGACTCGTGGTTAATCAAACTAGATGGAAAATAATTTTTAACATTTGAAGCGTAACAACCAGATCGATATTAAGATAAAGGGAGAGCTGTTTAGTCCTCCAATAAGTTGTAATCATCTTCGTTATCTTCATCTGGATCATCCCTTTCATCAGTTTTAATTAATTCAAGTTTTAATTTAACTGTTACTTTTACTTTGAGTCCTATTTCATTATGTAGAGATAGTCAATACCTAAGAAATTAAAAATTGGCCTATTTAAATCAAATTTGACAATAAGGGTATATGACAAGAATTGGGCAAAAAGGTGAATTTTTTGCAATTTTAGCCAAATGAAGTCGAAAAACCTACAACAAGTGTCCCAATAGTCTTCTTTAGTGAATATAAGACAACGATTAAAATATGAGCACCCATACCCCTTGGGAACCCTAAAAGCTGAGTAGGCGGGTTTATTAACGACCGGTGAAAATGTGGTTCGGGAAAAATATGGCAAAATTACCCTAAACCCACCACTTTATCCCGGTCATAATAATCCCGAGTAAGGTATATCTGTCTTTTTTGAGCATGTATAATCAAGAATTGTGTTATGAATATTGGATATATTTGTATTATATAGAACCCTTTAAAACATAAAGTATTCAAATACATAATTGACCTGTTGATTTATTATGAAAATCCGCGAATATTGACGATTTTTTGTTTATAAAAGTTAATAATTTAAATTATGAGCCGAATAAGTACCAATTAATTAACTAATCGCTAAATAATGGTATGATCTGAAGATTTATATATTATATAATACGGACACTGAAATTGGTTTAAAATATAAGCTTGTACAATACAATTATCATATTAATGAAAATGCAGCCAGCTGCTGCAAACTGTAACTATAAGTTAATTATCTTTAAGAATATGTTGGCTCTCCCGGGATCTTTGCGAGGCACCTCACGTTTTGACTTGTATTTGATTGGTCGCTATCGACCTATCGTTCGCTTCATCTACAAGGGATCGTTCATAAGTAAGCCAGATTTCGGCTAATTTAAGACAGGCCTCCATAATCACTCCCACGTTCGGCTATTGAGTAGAAATTACACTAACGTAAGCATTTCTCTCCCCCTAATCTGCCATACTTAAACTGTGAGCGATCCCCAAGCGGTTAGATTGACGACGTGACCTTGGGTCAACCCAAGGTGCATTGCTCCCCCGCGTTTAGCAGCATCTTTTATACCTTCTACTTGTCACCTGTACTCAGTACGATTCGTATGTTTGTTGATTGTTCATTTGTATTATATTTGACTGGATTGTTTGGATGATTTTTATCATGGATTTTGTTTTGTATATACATATCTTACAACGTTATATATTAAGATATTATTGCATTTTATGATTTTAAGATAATAACAACACGGAGCGCTGTTGAAAGTCAAGTTATGGTGGTGCCCTCCTAAATTTCACGATCATTAACGCTTTTTAAAGTATGCGTGGGCGAAATTATCATCACGTGATAATTTCGTTAAGATTTGTTTATATATATGAACGTTTATTTTGCTCCCAATGGAAAAGGGCTTTCGAGGTGAAGTCTTTGGTAATAATTACCATTTATGAAGAACCGATAAATTAAAAGTTCATGGAATTAGTTTAAATTAATATTTGGTGGAGGAGGTTTTATGGTATGCTGAGAATGTGTCGGAATATTACATTGTTAGCACGAGATGTTACCATTTTAATGTCTTGCTCCAAATTGCGTGTTTAAGTTTTCCTGCCATCGAAATTTGTTATAAACACGAACTGAAATTTGACCAAAATTGATGTGATGATGCAAATCATATAATAATATGTTAATTAACTTTTACATATTTTGGGAGATTTTCTACTTAACTTATTTGATACTATCACAGATATTTGATAATATCACAGATCTTTCTAACTCAAGAGCAACACACACACACCCAAGGGAGTGACATGACACTTACCATTCATAGGTAGGTTTACACTCTTACTTACTCTTACTCATCCCCGGCTACGATACCGCTGTACATGATTGTGCACGTGCGTTATGCATTATGCTCCCGCGCTATGCATTGCACGTGCAGTACATTTCGCACTTCATGCTGACTTCCACTTAAATTTTATCGCCCTCCGGCCCCCTGTGTGATGCTCTTTTGTTGCTCTTTTTAACAAGAATAGCGGTGTAAACGTTACATAGTTTCGTGTATCTATTTGTATTTTTACCCTGTATTTTATCACTGCATATTTCCTAATAACTTGATAATACCAGTCAGGATAATAACTTTCCCAATCCCTCAGGTACATCAGATAATGACGATCAGCTCCTGTTCTGTGACGAGTGCGACCGTGGTTTCCACATGTATTGTCTGACGCCGCGCATCGAGCGCCCGCCCGAGGGACGCTGGGTCTGTCACATGTGCAACAAACGACCCTGAAAACCTGCCGCGCTTTGCAGCGCTCATCTTTATATGATATTATGCGTAGCCAAATTATTGGTGGTGCTTTTTAGATACAAAGCTCTTTATTTTATCAAATTGCTAGTATTTTATCGTAGACTTTATGTTTTATGGCTCGCGGAAGCCGTGTGTGTATACGTGTTTGAGTTTAATGTTTCAACAAAATATATTGGGTGTAAACTGTCCTTGCAACAAATTATGAAGGTTCGTTATACTATTAAAATGGGCTCTTTATTCTTTTGATGTAATATTTATGACATGGGATTCAGGATTTTCACTCTGATGATTTTTTGTTCCGTAGTTTACATTCTGGTTTGAACTGTTAGTTGACCTCATTTTTATCAACTCTGTTTTCAAAACCTTTTCTACAAACACTTTAAAGCAGGCTAATAATAATGTAAATTTTAACTCAGCATTTTTATTTGATTTTATCATAGTTAAACACATAGTTTCCTAAATATTATCGGTTTCATTAAAAGCAAACGCTATCATTGTAGTTTGCAGTTTGTAGTATTTGTAGTTCAAACAGTAGCTTTTACAATTTACAGTAGTTTGAATATTTACCCTTTAAGTCAACAAGCTCTCATTTCATAACTGATTTAGTCGAATGTCGCCAAATCTAAATGCCATTAAATCGATCTATTTTTTGTTGAATATCTTATTTTGAATTTATAGATGATATATGGATACGTTTTATTGCTGTTACTCCTTAAAAATGAACAAAATGTAAAATTTCACAACCTGAGAGATATGATAATTTGATCCGTTACAAATATTATTCAAGAACCGATTAATGCAAACTAGTCATCAGTAAGACTTTGGAGTATTTTAACGGTAGGTCGGCAATTCAAAGCACATAAGGGGCAAAATATTGATAATTTACAGTGCAGCTGTATGAATAGTGAAAACCATGGTTTGATTTGGAAATAATTGAAAAAATGGGTAAGTTGCTTCAAAGCGGGCAAATTTTACTGATTCCAAGAGAACTTTCAGATGTTCTTAAATGCACAGTTTTACCAGATACGCATGTCATTGCCCCCTGAATGGCGAATAAAACACTCTAAAACTAGAGGGGGTCGTGTTTTCTACTACAATAAACTCACCAAGGAAACAAGATGGGATTGTCCAGTGTGTAAGTATTAATGTGAGAAAAACTAACTCTATGTAGATTCGGCAGGGATCGCTTCTGAATATTGAAGGTGTTTTAAGTTAGTTGAGTTTTAAAAATCGAGCTGCAGAGAAGTTTTTTGTTGCTGTGTGCTGTTTGCTATGTTTCTTCTTAGCTGCCATATTTTCAGCTGCAATAGATGAAGCTGACTACCCCGAGTTAGAACTTCCTGGTGATGTTAAGAATTCTGACAATGCAAAGCAAATTGTGAATTCTTCCAGTCATTCTGGTCATACTCATCTCAATAAACGTAGACGTACGGATAGTAAGAAGAATGAAAACAAAGTCGGGTCAAGTGCTCAAAGTAAGTTATTTTATTCATAAATGTTCTAGGAAACTTCTTCGCAACTCTCTGATAAGTGTTCGGTATGATGTGACTAACTCGTCGAATTAAATAGCTATTTTCAGCGGACGTGCATGGGAAAAACCTTGCTGCGAAACCGAATCGTTGTACACGAACCAGTTCAAAAGGTAAGAAATGTAGGAGTTTACGGGTAGAGGAGCCTAGTTGGCACGGTCACCTTTGAAAAGAGTACATCTGGGAAGGCGCCAGGTGTACTTAGTAATGAGAGTACGCACCCTGTCAGTCAATTTCGATGCGCGCACTATTTCGATTTCGTCACGCGCGCGCATTGATATTAGGGGCCATCTACGCGACGGCAGTATCCAGATAGCGCGCCCGACCCCTGTTCGCCGAACAGTGCAGGGGTCGGGCTATTGCCTATTTGGATACTGCCCCATCTACTAAGGACGTCCGCCAAAATCTCAGATTTTCAGACCACCCCCTGCCTCTGTCTGGGTGTGTCCGAATTTTCAAAACCTCCCCCGAACGTCCGGATTTCCAGCTACTTTTAAGAGTACAAATAAAACCAGCTCAAATCATTGTTAATAAAATGTGTTGTTACTTACGAATACATTTAGTGTCGAACAAGTTTAGCACAGTTAAGTTACAATTAGGTACTCGTTCAAAATACAGGGATCTAAACTTACAAAGTAGTTAGTGTCAAAGAGTTGAAATAAATGGTTTAAATCCATACATTCTACAAAAAGGTTATAGAAGTGATTTGGTCTTTGACTAAATAAAGGCTAGATTATAGTTCATAGTTATACACGTACTAGTGTAACCCGTGCCTTCGGCCGGGACCTCACTATCGCAGTTGAAATGCAGAAGTATAAACCCGCCCATTATAATTGAAAACACGCATAACATTGTCGTATGAAAGTATGAACTCTCTCTGCAGTCCAAACAGACCGCAATGAGTGCTCTCCCCCCTAACAAGCTTACAGTAGTACATAACAGTGAATCTTGCGGCTAACCTAATCATGATATATGTACCAACGCTACAAAATATGCAGTAATGGGAGAGAGAGCGAGGAGGGAGAAAATGTGAGCCTTTTTATGTAACATTTGTGGTACAAAACCATCAGTTAAACCACTTACCACCGGCCGATTTAAAAAACCTTAATCATTTGTGATTTTGCCTCCTCATAGTTTTGTCGGCACTATACCGAAAAAACCAGCCCCGTAACTCTTACCGTTTTCTTGATTAAGCCGCTCGGAAATTTCACGCACACATTCTGAGATTATTGTTTAAGATACACTACACAAGGGAGTATTATAATGAATACAATTTAAACACGTATCATTGGTCTTGCCTAGCTTTAAACATTTTGAAATTAAACTCTAATATTATTTTTTCATAACAGCGTTCTATTCATTTAAAGGGCCTTCGACTACAAAACATAAATTATTTGACAAAGTACAACGTCCCCTAACATTGATAATTAAATCAGCTGTAAAAAAGTTGTACAACAAAGTTACAAATTCAAAAACATCATGTAATCTTAAATTTCCTAACTGATTGTTTTTTAACAAATAAGATTCTCATGGTTTATCATCATTAGACTAATTTAGGACGAGATTATCTTCCAAAAGAAAGTAGTTGTCACGTTACGTCATTCAACGTCATATTCATACTCTGGGATACTCTGAAACCGCGTCAATTTAATAAACTATTAAGAATCCCCATACAATTTTATGACGAAATTTAATAAAAAATCTGAACCGTTTCAAAGAATCGCGACTCTTAACATGTTAACACAAAAAACAGCAAGCTAAAAATGATCGGAACACCCATCCATTTACACGAACCGTTTACCAAAAGATGAACCTCAGTACTATACGGCTGGTTAACATACGGATACAGCGTGCACGTAAAGGTCGAGTTTCTCACTGCATTCTCTATCATCACACTGGATTCCTGAACTCCACCAATGTTTATACCGTTTATAAACTTGTGTTCTGGAAGTTTGCTGATTTCTGTTCCTTGATCATCTTCCCACGTCACGGTCAAGTTCTTCACTATATCTGAGGAGATACTGTTACTGCTTATGTAACTTTAACAGATTTCTGAAAGTTTTTTAAACATTTTACCTTGAAACTACTATTGATACGTGATTAAACATTGATATACAGCCGAGTATTTCATAATTCTCTTACCAGTAGTATAGCCAGTATATAGATACACAATTTGTAACGCGGAGGAAATAAGAAAAGAACTAGTTGACCCTTGTGAAGCCGAGCTTAAACTGTGTGTAAAATATCACTCAGAGTAATGACTACTCAGAGTCACTTACCAGTCACTTACCAGTCACTTTCCAGTCACTTACCAGTCACTTACCAGTCATTTGCCAGTCATTTGTCAGTCACTTACCAGTCACTTACCAGTCACTTACCAGTCACTTTCCAGTCACTTACCAGTCACTTACCAGTCATTTGCCAGTCATTTGTCAGTCATTTACCAATCACTTACCAGTCACTTACCAGTCACTTACCAGTCATTTGTCAGTCACTTACCAGTCACTTACCAGTCACTTACCAGTCACTTACCAGTCACTTACCAGTCACTTACCAGTCATTTGCCAGTCATTTGTCAGTCACTTACCAGTCACTTACCAGTCACTTACCAGTCACTTTCCAGTCACTTACCAGTCACTTACCAGTCATTTGCCAGTCATTTGTCAGTCACTTACCAGTCACTTACCAGTCACTTACCAGTCACTTTCCAGTCACTTACCAGTCACTTACCAGTCATTTGCCAGTCATTTGTCAGTCACTTACCAGTCACTTACCAGTCACTTACCAGTCACTTTCCAGTCACTTACCAGTCATTTACCAGTCACTTACCAGTCATTTGTCAGTCACTTACCAGTCACTTACCAGTCACTTTCCAGACACTTACCAGCCACTTACCAGTCACGTACCAGTCACTTACCAGTCATTTGTCAGTCACTTATCAGTCACTTACCAGTCACTTTCCAGTCACTTACCAGTCATTTACCAGTCACTTACCAGTCATGACGCAAGAAAGAGTAGCTGAGTCCCCCTGGTTCACAGTAGCATCATGTGGGGTCACTATGAAGAGGAATACTCTTCTTATACCCTCCCAGTTTGTACCGTCCCCGCTTGTAAACTTGCACTTGTAGATATCGTCTGAGGTGTTAATAAATGTTTTAGTCGATCGAATTGTACTTGAAGGGGATAGGGAATTTAAAAGAAAAACTTAACGATTACGTTGAAGGATTCGGATGTTCTTCTTAGTACCTTGAGTGTTGACGGTTGCACCTATTGTGAGGGTTGAAGTTATTGTATCATCATCTTGTGAGGAAGCTATGCTGAATCCGTCATCTGAGTCTGTTATCTCTTTACCGTCACCTGATCACACTGATCACACTTCGTGTTAGTGTGTTTTACTAGAATACTACTAGTCTCAATACATACTGATTCATCAAACTGAGAAGTGACTTTGTGAGATTTGTAGGCGGATAAACAGTTTGATTTGCAAATATCACTGAGCTGACTCCTACAGGACTCTGGTTGGTGGTTGTAATTAAGTCGTGCATTTTGACGGATATGACTATTTCAATTAAGTTCTACTAACTGTTTCTTGTCCAAGTCTGTGTCACGTCCCCGTCCCCGTCCGGAGCGTTAACCAAGGAACAAACCACCGACATGGTCGTGTTCATGTGACCAATAGCCGGCCTAGAACTCTTTACTTCAGGTTCTGGTGGTGTCAGAAATTCTTCTGGGAATAAAAACTGCTTTTTTAGTCGTATGGTAAAACTGTCTGATAAATGTCTTTGTCTGTCGAACGAATCTTTGTTAAGCGAAACTCTAGTATAGTAATTTCACAACAGACGTCCGTAATGATCTCAAATTTGTTATATACCAAATAATTTGAGATCATTATGAACGTGTCTGTTCGAAGACTTACTACATTTGGGTCTCAAACAAAGATTCATCACACCGTCGAACAGAGAAAGAAAATCAATGTATTTTCATCTTCAAATATTCAATGTATAGAATATATTATCTCGTCGAGCCAACATGAAATAACACTTAATTCATGCAGTACATTTAAAGTTACCAGGCTCCGGTTTAAGCTGTATTTCTGGACTATTCTGGGATAATTCATCTGTTGAACTCACGAAAACAAAAACTGATAGAACAAGTATTAGAATATTCATGATTAGTTACAAATGACAAATCAAATACCGAGTTAACTGAACTGGCATTAAGAATTGATTTGATCGAAGGATTGTAGTGGTAAGACGATCACTGATTTACTTCGCTCCCCCACGGTCCACACTGCCTTATTCGGTCTCATATTGATGGTCTTTAAGTAGGTGATAATTAAAATTGTGAAACAAACTCAATTTTAAATGATTTGTGCTGTGTTACGTGAGTAAAAATAAATCTCTTTATTCTTAAGAAAATATATTATATTATATGCCTACCCTCAAGTGGTTCTGGAAACATATAATTTGTAACGAGAGTTAAAAGCTTGCTTGTCTTCAATTAAACTTACAACAAATGGCCCTTTCAGTGATTTTCTGGTTATCTTGAAATCTCCATTCTTTATATTTCCATGAATCACAAGTCTTCTGTCTCAAGTTTGACCTGATAAAGCTGCACTGTAAGGTGTCATATTAGTTGTCTCTTCCTTACAAACGTTCATCCGTTATAGTTGGTAGATTTCAAAGAAAGGACACGTAGTTCAAATACAGTTATCTTGATTGATTATTAGAAATATCAGTTTTACGGTTTTATTGACCGGATTGCGACACCACCCAAAAGCACAGCAAAGCATGTCCTCGTTACAGCCCTAATATACTGTTCCATGGCTATCACGGCGGACGTGTAGTTTACTAATTCTAGTAATTGGGTGAAGCAGACAGAGCACCTATAACAACGTGTGTGACGTCACTGTCTCACCAGTGACGTATCTGTGACGTCACTCGGTCATGTGATCTGTATCCGTACTATGCTGTACTTTGTACTGCTGTAATTTTATTCTCTATAACCAATCCACCTGTGTCTATTTGGGCACACTTCAAAGTTGTTTAATGTCCGGACTTATTAATTTTAAATTTAGTGGAAGTACCACCCAAAAGAAGACCTCTTTGCATTGTGCAGTTATCAATATAACCCCGTGGATAAACATCTACTATGGAGATCAAAAGAAAATATCAAAAGAAAATATAGCGTATGTCAGAGCGGCTCTACTATCTGAATAGATTCAACATCGTTCACGCTGCGTTGATGGAACTGTAACTCATATTAGTCATATATTAGTACTTTAGTACGTATGCAGTTGTAAGTTGAGAAAACATAAAATTGCATGAACAACTTTGTTGAACTAAATATGGATTTACAAGCACGCACATAGCTCTTGGAGGACAAATCTCTTCGAAAAAAGAGTTATATATTACTATTAGGGTGGTTCACTGGTTCAGTGGTTATAACTGACTTAAGGTTCTGATTATATCTAAATTTGAATAGCTACATATTCTTATCAGTAACGTATGTTAAATTACTACAGCCGGGCTATCTTGTATATATGTCATTAACAAAACCCCAAGGGGGCAACGTGGTATTGTAGTCTCAAATAAATGCCATTATTTTATTCGCACGAAGGAGTATAAATACTCTAATAAAACATCATGCGATACCTATGTGTAGGACGGGGTAAAATTAACAAGATGGTTTCATTTTCCTCGGCCTCGTACATTTATGTAATTATTTGATAAGATGGTCATTGGAGCGCGGCGCTTTGCCCTTCTCAGAGCAGGGTCTGAATAAAGAACAAGGTAATATTATTTTGTGAATTACATTCGAAAAACTATTATTTTAGTACTTTCGCTGAAATTCCAATTTTCAATAATCAGTATAATCACGAGAAATAACTCATAGATATTTTCCGTTTTAGAACCTCGGCTACCTCAGAATATACTGATGGGACTAAATAACACTGCGGAGATAATGAACACGAAAATGAAACAGTAGAACAATAAATATCAAATACACACACGAACCTTGGCGAAACTTGTATTTCGAAGTAATAAATATCAAATACACACTTAAACCTTGGCGAAACTTGTATTTTGAAATAATAGTCCACTCTAAAAGCAGGACAGAATTAGCACTTAAAGTCAATTCCATTTAATCGCATTATCATTGGCTTCATTCTACAAAACATCATCACACCATGTTGAAAGAGTGATAGTAAACAATTCTTGAAAAACATTTTACATTTGGGGGTGTACCAACGGTCTGAAATCACCATACCTTCGCACGAGTTCACGGTTAGCTCCAAATTTATAGATCGCCTCTAGTTGTCCTTTCAATCTGGCGCATTTTCAGTATACAGCTCTGCTTGCGTTTCTTATCTCTTCAACCTTGATATGACGTCATTGGCACGGGTCACCGGTCAACATCAACTTGTCCTGACTTAGGGTCTATTTTACAACACACATCAGCTCATGATATCTGTTTTAGAGCAGCACTGTTCAACAACATGCTCAATCTCATATTTCGGAGGCCATGGTCTTATTGTTTCTGTCATCCAGCATTGTGTAATCCTCCTTCTCAGCGTAGCTGGTGAAGAGCCTCATCTTGACGTACCTGACACCTCTGTTCAGCCTCTTCCTGATGCCCGTGTTCCTCCAACTCAAGATCATGGGGTTCAGCATGGAAGTAAATACGGGGAGGAAGGTGAACATGAGGGCTCGGAGATGCTTGTAGTTGGTGACTGCTGCCACCACGGCGAAGGTCAGGGAGATGAGGTAAGGAAGGTTGATGAGAAGGATGGTGACACAACCCTTCTTCCTCATTTCGTACGTCTTTAGAGCCAGCTCGTCGGTTGTGTCAGGTTTTGCTTTGAAGAGGGAGGAGACACAGAGGATGGCGAAGAGAACTCCTACAAAGCACTGAACCAGGTTCAGGTAGAAGCAGAGATCCTGGAGAGCGGACCTCGCTCCAGTGGTTTGGTTGTCTAGCGAGGCTGTGAGGAAGAGGTACTTGCCAGCGATAGTGATGCCGGTCATCCCAGCAGCGTACAGCATGAAGAGAGCCAAGAAGAGGTACTTGTTGATGTTTACGAAGGGTGCTCGGAGGCGGATGTACCGCGCTACAGCCAGCAGTGTTGTGGCAGACTGGGATATGCAGCCCACGTTGCACGAGATGGCCTGTGCTAGGATGTATCCCCAGGTTCTTTTCACACTCGCTTGGATCTCCGGATGGAAAACCTCATGGGCATAGAAGAGTGGCGAGTAGAGATTTGTTATAAAATCACTGGCTGCTAAGATCTTAAAGAGCATGTCTACAATGACCATACTGGAGACTTCTACGTGAAAGTGATAGAACACCAGTGGATTTAGCAGAGTCGAGATAACGAACCCAATAACTAGTAAAATCCCCACAAAGTAGTTTGCGAAATAGTCCAGGGGAGTCACTTGGAAGGTCTCCACAAAGTCCGACAATCGCAGTGTCTCACACGGTTCCTGGAGACAGGTTGTGTTGAGCGCATCGTATAGCTCGTCCGTGTAAATGTGCCTCCAATATATCAACATACCTGATCAGAGATGAGATGGTTAAATATGAGGAACATTTTTGAAGTCAGCTGTTACATTATAAAAGATTATAGTAATTAGTTAGTACCATCTACTATATTGATATCATATTTTGCGTGAAAAGGTATGAAAATATCGACGATCAGAAAAATTATGCCATTTTCTGATTTGTATTAGTTACAGAAAATTCTATGAAACCTCACGCCTGATCTTAACAGTTTACGCCTAACAGTTTGCTTACAAAGCAGCAGCAGCCTGATTGAAATCGCATGCACATATTTCAACAAACAAAGCCATCAATCCCCATCTAGAGCAGATAGGACACATGTGTTGCAATGTCTCCCGTAATTTCAGGTATGGGTCAGTTATACCGGACGGAAGGTTCACGGTCCTGGTTTAAGTCAACATCATGGGAACTCCAGTGGCTCAATGTTATTACGAGTGTGGAATGTACGATAAAGCTAATGCGAGCTGGAGTGAAGCAGGCCCGTTTCGCTACGTCCCCTCTGATTAAATTGGGAATGTTGCTCCCCCGATACCAATCATGAAATTATGTCTCCCGATTTGCGGAAAAAGAGATCCTATCCTTTAGAAGGCCTCAAATTAATAAGACCAACATTATCTGATGTAACCAAGGATATTAAATATGGCTCAACTCCATTGTAAACTGTAAAGGGTCGTCATCTATGCATCAAAGATATGAATGAATAAACGTTTAAATACAGTTGAAAGTAACAATTATTGCGGATTACGATTCACCGCGACCCTTTCGTTCCCCCAAACTTTGCGATAAATTGGGGCTTTACTGTGTTAGTTTCTAATAAAACCATTTTAAATTGACTAAAAATCCGACACCATGAACGCTGAATCCGTTCAATGAAGGCAAAGTATTCAATACTACTGAGCTGTTTAACGGATATCTGAACAAGGGGTCTCAAAAACAGATTGAAGCAACCGATCTGTTGTTTGGGAACCAATTATTTTAAACGGATTAATAAATCTCTTTATTAAACTATGATCTCTTATATAGCGTAATGTCTGACCACCGTCTAAGTTACCAAGTGGCGTGGGTCACACATGGTGGTATTTTAGACATCACGCTGTATAAGAAATCCTAGTTTGATAAAGATATTTATTAGATTTAAAAAACCGATGAAGTTTCAAATTTCTGTCGAAAATACCACCACACATGGTGGTATTTTAGACATCACGCTGTGTAAGAAATCCTAGTTTGATAAAGATATTTATTAGATTTAAAAAACCGATGAAGTTTCAAGTTTCTGTCGAAAAGATACTGTTTATTGTTAAACTACAAGTCATCCCGCAACCTACACTAGCTTAATAACTGAATATATAGCCACCGCGTCCGTTTTGTTTGACTCATGAAGCGGCCCACATAAGCCGTATAAAATTAAAGTGGTGATATTCAAGACATTATATTTTAAAAGAAATCATAATATTATATCAATATAATAAAATATTGATTTGTTAACCTATAGAAGGCCAACCCAAAGCTACTTTAATAGTTCAATAATACATGGTTGACCTGAAGCAGTACAACTACAGAGGCTAACTTTAAACACGGCTCATAAGTTAATAATCTGGTTAAAAACAGCTCTAGTAACCTACTCTCGTGCCAATCTAAAACAGGGT